TGCTGCCATTATACCTTTTCTCAACCCCTTGATCTACTGTCTGAGGAATGATCAAGTGAAGGAGGCTCTGCATAAATTATTGGCAGAAATATCAGGGTTGGTTATGACAACTTTCACAATGTAAAAAAGAGTTTTGTACCTGGTGGTACAAAATCCGAATTATATTTATTTTTCTGCATACGTGAGAGATGATGTAGCCCTGAATTCATACAATTTCCCTCCCTATTTCTCCTCAACTCTGCCTCACAGAAAAAAAAACCAATGCAAAATCCTAGATTTTTCTTGACCAGTTACTTCCAAAGAGTTGACTTACTACTTAGCTAATGGGTGACTCTAAAGATTGACTCTGAAGAAATTATTCCACTCTAATATGCAACTCATTTTGAAGTAGTCCAATATTTTATTTTAGAAGAAAAAGAGAGTCTAGACCAAACTTATTTTAACATGAATTAAATGGGGAACATCTACATCAGGGGTGGGCTGCTGAGGATTTGCAAGGGTTCAGGCAAATCTCTAGCTAAGATTCTGTACAGTTTGGACAACCCCCAAATCCCACTCCTGGCTGACCCCAGTTGCCAAATGCACAAAATGCAATCACATGACTATAGGGAAGGTAGCCATCGGAACTTTGAATCCTGCCCATAAGTAGTCCCAGGGAGGTCATAATTTTGAACATTTGCCAAGTAACCAGTTGTAAGTCAAGGAATACCTGTATAGTCAAAAGGGTTTTTTCTTGTCCATTTTAATATGTCTATGCAAAGTACATTGTACATCCTGATCGGAAATTCATTTGAGGATCTATGGGGAGATGAGATTTGTACTAAGCATAAAAATTGCATTAGATAAAAGAATTACAATTAATTAGTTCGATTAACTATGATGTTTATTAAGGGTAAAGGTTCTCCTTGCACATATGAGCTAGTTATTCCTAACTCTAAGGGGTGGTGTTCATCTCCACTTCAAAACCGAAGAGCCAGCGCTGTCCGAAGATGTCTCCATGGTCATGTGGCTGGCATGACTCAACACCGAAGGCGCATGGAAGGCTGTTACCTTCCCATCAAAGGTGGTCACTATTTTTCTACTTGCATTTTTACATGCTTTCAAACTGCTAGGTTGGCAGAAGCTGGGATAAGTAACGGGAACTCACTCTGTTATGCGGCACCAGGGATTCGAACCGCTGAACAGCTGACCTTTCTGATCGACAAGCTCAGCGTCTTAATCACTGAGCCACCATGTCCCTTATGTTCTTCATTAGCCAAGAAAAAAAAGAGAATATAGTGAATACTATACCACCAATGGATGAAGAATGCCAAGGCAGCAATGTCCATAATTACTACAATGACAAGAAAACTATTAATTTGTCATAGATGTTGAATGTTTAATGTACTAGGGGAAAACTATTGCCTGATGTTGACTTTGCATGGATTTTTTTTTGCACTGTACATTTTATTATATTGTAGTTCTGATTATTATTCAACATCCAGAATTAATAAAATAGATTTGTTTTACTGGGGAGGAAAACAACTTTCTTAAACATTTTCTTTAAAAAAATATGTTTGTGGAAATTTGGTATAAGTAAAAGTTTCCCTCCCATGATACGCTATTTCACTACAAACTTGTCTTGTTCCTGAAAAGCGTATTCCCCAGTTGCATTGCCAGTTAATGATGAAACTCAGTTGTGAGAATGTTTGTACAACTTTTGAGCTCTTACTAATTACATAAAGATGGTGACTCTTTCGACTTCTAATCTCACAATATGACCTATTCCTCCATTAGTTTTCTGGACAAGCACCTATGATGTGCAGCAACCCATTTTTTCTGATGTGCTTTCTGCTATAGAGACGAATCTTTTTACTCCGCTAAGGTATGAAAATAGAAATTATATTTTTGAGAACAGCTGGGCAGGAAGCAAAGAGAAATGACCGCTCCTCTTGAATCTTTAAAGTTTATCCAAAGTAATTTTATCACATTCCATCAAAGATCAAGAGATGGAGAGATTGGCATAGAATTCCCATTTATTGCATCTAATAACAGGAAGTCAATACTTTGCTACAGTTTGTGATATTAATATGTGGAAGGAAGGAAGGAAGGAAGGAAGGAAGGAAGGAAGGAAGGAAGGAAGGAAGGAAGGAAGGAAGGAAGGAAGGAAGGAAGGAAGGAAGGAAGGAAAGATATTAACCTACATTTCATGCTACTGAAATAAATAAACCATGTGAAGTTTTTTCTGCAGTTTTTTTTTTCCAGAACAGATATAAATAATCCTGATTAAATTCAGTGGGACTAATACCTAGAAAAGTGCATTTGTGATTGTAGACAAGTAACATTAAAAAAGTTAAGGAATGCTTTTTAGGGAGATGGGATAATCATTGCTATAGCTAGAATTCAAGATTTTATTTTGCAGCAGGCATTAGTTATATGGAATCATGATTCTACTACATTTATATGCAAGTTTTCCAATTGTTCTGCTGTCAATAGAAAAAAAAATCAAAGATAACAAAGGATAATGGCCCTTATCAATATTAGAGTTTACTTATTGAAATGTTTACATGATAGAAACATGTGATATTATCCCAAGAGCTGCAAATTATAATAATATAAGCTATATCTAAAGTTCAGCAAGTTGGTTTATTACATTTTTCTTACTTTTTTTCTCCTCTCTCCTAGAATTTTTAAAATGTTTATACTAATAGGTCTATGTTTCTGCCTGCACTTTTCTTTGAATATTTATTCACCAATAATTCTCCTACATCTTTTGATACATTTTCCCCCACGAATAAGCAGTTTTGTACAGACTTTTCTCCAATATGCTTTTCTTCAATTTGAACACTGCACTGTGAGATTTACAGAGATTATATTTTTCAATGATGGCTAAATTCATGTAGAGATACTTTCCAGTATCCTATACAGATATCAAGGACCAAAGTATGTTATTCAATAAACACTGAAAGTCTTGAGTATCTATTATTTCAGATGTCATTAGTCACAAGGCATAAAGTTTTGTCAGATTTTTGATATGTAGAATAGTTACCTTGTGCTTTGTGAACTTATATGATTCCAGATGGAGTTGGCGAATGGGACTGTGGCCCAGGGGTTCATTTTGCTGGGATTTGGAATGGATCAGCAAAAACGCTTCTTGCTGCTTCTTTTCTTGATTACCCTTTATGTTCTAACACTGGTTGAAAACAGCACCATTATAACCCTGGTCTGTCGAGATAGCCATCTGGGCCAGGTCCCCATGTACATCCTTCTGAGAAACTTTTCCTGGCTGGAGATGTGCTACGTGACCACCACGATTCCCTGCATGCTTTTTGACCTTGCGACCCATAACCAGGTTATCTCTTTCCATGCTTGCTTCCTCCAGTTCTATCTCTTGTTCTCTCTTGGCACCACTGAATTCTTCTTCCTTTCAGCCATGGCTTTGGATCGATACTTAGCCATCTGCCACCCATTGCACTACCAGACCATCATGTCACCACATTCCTGTTGCATTCTGGTAACCGCATGTTGGCTCCTTGGTTTCCTGGGATACATCACACCTGTTGTTTTGATCTCCAAGTTGTCCTTCTGTGGACCCAACATTATTGACCATTTTTTGTGTGACCTCGTTCCGCTGCTCTCTGTGGCTTGTCCTCCACTTGGAAATGCTCCTTTGATTTGCCAAATTATTGTGCACCTTCTGTTTTTAAGCAATGTAATATTCGTCATACTATCCTATGGCATTGTGATCTACACTTTGATGAAATCCTCCAGTAAAGGGAATTGCAGGAAAGGCTTCAACACTATATCTATGCATCTTTTGGTGGTTACCCTTTTCTACAGCACAGTAGGAGCAATGTATGTCATTCCAGTTGGAGAAAGTTATTTAAAGGTTAATAAGATAATAACACTCTTCTATGCTGCCATTATACCTTTTCTCAACCCCTTGATCTACTGTCTGAGGAATGATCAAGTGAAGGAGGCTCTGCATAAATTATTGGCAGAAATATCAGAGTCAATAATGTCAACTATCACAATATAGATGATGTTGGTAGTTTATTTTCCTGTTTGATGGTGACCATGGCACATTTTTCCAGTCCAGGGGTGGGTTTCTTGCCCTGTTCCAACCGGTTCAGTTGGAACGGGGCCGGCGGCGTCCTCATGCACGCGTGCGGCGCACGCATGCGTACTAGCATCTGTGCGATGCTCCAGCTGCTCCTGGAGGATCGTGCAGGCGCTGTATGCATCCTGCGCATGCGTGGAAGCGCAGAACTCGTCAAAACTGGGTAAGGAGCGCGGGCGGGCAGGTGGGCCCTTCGCCGTTCCCGGAAGTTACTTACTTCCGGGTTCACCGACCAACCGGTTCGCAGGGACCGCCGCGAACCGGTTGAAACCCACCCCTGGTCCAGTCCAAGTTCTATTGCAGTATCTTCCCTGCATATACAGATAGTTCAATCAGAATGGAAATGGAAGGTCCCAATGTATGTAAGTAGAAAAAGTGTATACCTTTATGTATATGCTGCAGCCCTGAATGTATACAATTCTCTGCCTATTTCTCATCAACATTGACTCACACAAAAATCAACGAAAATCCAATATTTTTCTTGAGCAGTTGGTTGCCAGGAAATGACTGCAAAGTATTACTTGGCTAATGGTTGGCTCTGAAGATAGAATCTAAATAAGTCACTCTACTCTAGTTTCTACGCTTCCTGCCTCGAGGTGATTTAGTATGAGAATAATTTGATTTGAAAAGGAAAATTGGTCGAGACCAATTATTTTTTTCCAGCATGAGTTAAAGGGGGGGGGGGAACCATTTGTCTACAATGAAAATTAATCTTTGCCAGTATTATTACTCTTTGCTAGAAATAAGGAGGAATTTCCTGACAGTTATAACAATCAGTTAGTGGAACAGTTTGCCTTCAGAGGTTGTGGGTATTCCAGCACTGGAAGTTTTAAGAGAAGATTGCATAGCCATTTGTGCAGAATAGTATAGGGTCATGATGGAGACCCTGTGGCAAAAGTGGCAGAAGGGGCATGCAGAGCCATCTCTCTAGGCACATAAGCCATCGCCCATTGCTCTTCCAAGTTCCAGCACACTGACCAACCGGTCTTCACACATGCAGGCGCACTGGGAGCTGGAAGAACAGCTGCCCAGCATGCATGCACATGATTTCCCAGATTCTGGAACATGCATGCGTGCTGGTCACCCGTTGTTCCAGTTTCTGGCATGCATGTGCGTATGGAGACCAGTTAGCCAATGTGCATGAATATCTTCCCAGTGCTTGCATAGACACTGGGCCAGCTGCTCTTCTGGTTTCCGGCACACACACACGCACACACATGTGGGTGCATGTGCTTGCTCCCATTTCAGCACTCAATGCCGAAAAGGTTCGGCAACACTGTCCTAGATGGATGATTTTCCATAATTAAAGATGGAGTTTCTACGTTTAACATCTTAACTATTGCGGTGATGTCCAAATATCTTTTGAAAAGTCAAAACATGTGGTCTGCATAACATTTTTTGTTTTATACATTATGTATCATCTTTGCAAATCAAGACTGTTGGAAGAACTGTGGTGGCAGAGTGGTTAGAATGAAGTACTGTACTACAGGCTAACTCACTGCTCACTCCAGGAGTTCGATCCTCAGCCTTCCATCCTTCTGAGGTCAGTAAAATGAGGATCCAGATTGTTGAGGGCAACATGCTGACTCTGTAAACAATTTAGTGGGAGCTGTAAAGCACTATGAAGCGGTATATAAGTCTAAGTGCTATTGCTGTTTCTATTGCTGTCATCACTTCAATTAAAAGGATATTCTAAGAAGAAAATGTATGGAATCAGGACTCATATATTAAATGCCATTGGAATCAATGCCAGTTCCATGACATGAGTTCAATAAATAAATGCTAATTATAATTAATTTCCACTAGACTTGTGTTTAGCTATATCTGTGTGCAGGTGTTTTTATGGGTCTGCTGTTTTAACTCCCGGTAATTGCAACCACTACATTGAGGACATGGTGACTCAGTGGCTGACACTGAGCTTGTTGATCAGAAAGATCGGCAGTTTGGCGGTTTGAATCCCTAGCACCACGTAACAGAGTGAGCTCCCGTTACTTGTCCCAGCTTCTGCCAACCTAGCAGCAGTCGAAAGCATGTAAAAATGCAAGTAGAAAAATAGGAACCACCTTTGGCAGGAAGGTAACAGTGTTCCATGTGCCTTTGGCATTTAATCATGTCAGCCACATGACCATGAAGACGTATCCGGACAGTGCTGATTCTTCAGCTTTGAAACTGAGTTGAGCACTGCCCCTAGAGTCGGGAATGACTAGCACATATGTGCGAGGGGAACCTTTACCTTTAATTACAACCAATGTCATCAGTGGTGAGGAACACTAAATATTGAAGTTCTGTCATGTTAAGAATAATATAAAGATTCCCCTTATTGTAAAGGGTAGCACATACAAGCATAAATGAAAAACAGAACATCTCAAATATTGAAATAATACAAGAAAAATATAAACCATCGTCATTGTCATCATCAAGTTCTGAAAGTTTTAAGCTGCTTTCCTAAATGCAAAGAGGATGGGAGTCAATGGTGCATGTAGGTTAGCATATAACACATGTTGAGCCATCAATGAGAAAAGAGAACCTCACTGCGCATGGGTACAACAAGATTCAGAACCACTCTGAATAAATAGGGCTATCCGGTGGCTTCTGCCCTTTTGCAATTTTGGTGACATTCAGACAACAACACATATGTGTATCTGCCCTTTGTGTCCCGATCAGTGCACATTTGAGGACCTCATGGCAGTGTGACAGAACACAATTAATGTTGCTAAGTCTGGGCAAGACCTGTTTAACTTGCACGTATTTTAATCTTGTATTTTATATTTTAAATTCTGTGTTATATCATGTGTCTTATTTTAATTGTGATGCATTTGACACGAATAAACCAACAAGCCAATGAGAAAGCTTTTTTTTTCTGGTCTAAACCGGTTCCACCACAAATGTGCGAATGACAAAAGCGCGTCTGACTAAACCGCGGTGACAAAACCGCGCTGTCAAAACTGCGGCGACGAATGAGCGCTGAAGCGCGCCGACAACAGCGCACTGCCAGAAGCGCGCTGTAACATAACCCTAAAAATAACCCTAATCCTAACCCTAAACCTAACCCTAAACCTAACCCTAAACCT